GAGGACCCAGCTTTCAGTTCTTCTTGATGGCAACCCTGATTTCCACTTGTCTGTTTGACCAGAAGTTAAAACTGAGTCATCCGAAGTTGGGTTCTGACTGCTGGCTAGAGTTTTTGCCTCATTAGAGGATTTCACAGTGAAATTAAAGCTCTGCTATCTACTCCTGCTTCTTCGAGTGTCTGTGGGATCCAATGACTCCTTTGAAAAATCCATACCATATTCTGCTTTTCCTAGCATAGCCAGCCAGAAAAATCCAAGGGAAGAGTCCTCTAGGAACTATTGTGTGAACAGATAGCTGTTTGGGGAGGCCGGCCAATCCGCTCTGTTCTCAGCACGCCGCTCACTGCCATGTTCATTGGTGATTATATTAAATGCCACGTTCCTAGGGCAGGGCCTGCTCAGCCACCACTAGCTTATTCATTATTTATATACAATTAAAGGGCACGGTTCAGATGAATGCAAGCATCTGAGAAAAGTCATTATTCATGTACAGATCAAATTGAACATTTGTCATTTCCCCAGTGACTTAACATATTCTTTGTGCCTTGGGACCTCAAATTATATTAAGCAGTGTAGATGCTTTAACTTTTTATTTAGTTTAATTATTGGCCTTCATCCACTTGTTCAGATTACTTGGACTTGTTTAAAATTTAGCTCGTTTCCCCTTAATATAATAAAATAGAAAAGGAAGGAAATCTCTTTTTAGGACCTATTGCATTCTAAGGATAAATGCAAATTGTTCTACTATGATTGTTAATGACCCACTATTAACATAGTAGGAAGCCCGGTGCATTAATGCAATACCTCTTTTCACATCGTTACTCCTGATGGAACTGTTACCAGTATAATAGCTTGACCTTTAACTATAGATACAGATAGCAAAAATATATTCTGCTTACTCAATACCTCTATTCACATGGCATATTGAGCGCTTTCCGATCGATACAATGACAATCTTTTGGCCTTGTTCGAAGGCCTCATCTAAGCATGTAAGAGAATAGGTTTTCTTCTTCAGAAGATAGAGTCTAGTTAAAAGTCTCTCTTAAGTGTGAAGGTAACCCATGGCATAGAATGTTAATACAAGGCCCAGTGGAAACATTTGTTTGTATAGGTATTTTTCCAGAAGCCTAATGCTGTGCTTTCAGTGGTCTCAGACACAGACCCAGGAGACAGAGCCTCCCCCGGTTTCTTTTTCTTGAAACGAGATAAGTTTTAATGGAAAGGAGAAAAAAATAACCAGAAATTGTTGCCTTTTCAGTAAGTGATAGAATACTCGAGCTCAAGATTAGATTAGAAAGATTTGCTGGGAGGCCCCTCACCTCGTGGAAGGGAACATTCCAGAGCCTTCCCTTCAGTTTTCCTAAACCTGGTAGTTGATACGCGTGGTGGCCGGGAGTCATTTTGATGTGGGCGTGACCCAAATCCACTTCGTTAATTCGGAACCACTACCTTCTAATGGGTACTCATTGGGACACCTGCATTTCACAGTCAGAGAAAAGAGGGGTTGCTTTGGAAATTAATTATGTAAATAATATTACAAGGAGGGGGATGTTTACCTGCGAAGACGGTATATTCAGTCATTGCTGTGACGCACATTTCCATAAACGCCAATAGGGTGCTAAGTGCAAGTATTTTTTTCTATTCATTGAAACAGGATTTTGAGAACCTTTTGGCAATCCTCTGAGGAGTAAATGTCATTTGGGCATTTGAATGTAATGAAACCTGTTTCCTTAACTATATTCTATTAATTAAGACTTCCATCTAATTCAGGTAGGCCTTTCTCCCCCATTTAATCTACATTTGTGAACTGTGGTATTGGCTTCCATTAGAAACAAAAGTAGAAAATATATTTGTTTACTCATCAAACGTTTGAGTTCTTACTATCAGTACAAGGCACTGTCACAGGTGCTCTGAGGGACACAAAATAAATGAAGACCCCAAGGTGTCTATAACCCGGTGTGGGAGATTTTAAAGCACAGCCACCCCACGGGTGTCGTTTCCTCTGCACGGCTCCCGAGTGGAGACTCCTTGCTTGCCCAGCTCACATATCATATATTGGGCAGCCTGGTGGCTATTTCACTCGATCCTTAATTCTGCTCCCTAACATCACTCCTGCTCTACTCATCTGGCGCTGGGATGGGTTCTTTTCACTAAGGCTCTTATCACAGCTACACATCTTCCTCCTGCCCCATGGCCTGCTGTCATCTTGGATAACATCACTGTCCACATGAAAGATCCATCTGACCACGGCCACACAGGTCCGGACCCCAGCCACAGTGACATTCACCTCCCCTGCATGTCATCCCATCCCAGCCACACCGTAGCATTCTCATCTAGAACTGCTCCTCTGCCACCATTGACACTCCAGCGTTATACTCCCAGTTGCTTTCATGCATGGCACCTCCTTGCAGCCCTGTTGACATTTTCATCCCCTGGTCTCTCTAGAATTTTTTTCCAAGTTGGGGAGCCTTTTTCTGGCTTCACTTCTCTCCCAGATTTGGGCAGGAAGGGGCAGTGAAGAGAGTTGAGGTCATTCATTCCAGGTGGCAGCTTCACCAACATCTCCCAAGAGTTTTTGTATCCCTGTCCTTCTGCCAAAGCTGTCCAGCAAAATCCTAACCCAAGAGCAGCCCTGCCGCCCGGTGTCTGCACTCCTACGGAGGAGCCGCAAGGTGCCATGGGAGAAAACAGCCCGCGCCTGCAGACTGTTGCCACCACCACAGTCCTGCTTGGCATCCTCACGTCCTCAGTCTCCTGTTCTTCTCAGAGACAATTCCCGACTTTGCCCACACTCTCCATCCCCCTCACCATGGAGTTCAGTGAGGCCGGCCTCAGGAGTGATTATTCTGACCGCTTCTCAACCTGCCCCAGTCTTCCTTCCTCTGGATTGAGAGAACTTTTCCCCTGTTGGGGGGCAACCTCTCCATTTGAATCCTGACCCATCACCTCACAGTTCCTCTGGGATGGTTCCTTTGCCTGCCTCCTTCTTTTTCCTGGATCTGTCTGCTCCTGCAACTCAGCCCATAAACACACTCGGGTCTCCGGTCCCTCAGCCCTCCTCCCCTCCCAGCCCTTCTCTGCCTGCCCGCATTGAACTCGGTTGGTTGAGAGTGTCACCTGTGGTCATCCCCACCGCTCTCTTCTGATGACCTCCCTTCCTGGCCCTTTGGCACTTGGACTGTAGGTCCCTCTTTATCCACTTGCTGACCTTCACAAGACCCGCCTCCCAGGCCTCCTGACTAGCCCACCCTGGTCTCCATGGGCTCCTGTGCCTTAATCTCCTCAGTCACGGGCGTTCTCTCCAGCTCTGTGCTGGTGCGCAGTGCTCTGTTTGCTCCATATGTTCTCCATCAACGTTTTTTTCTCTTGTTCTAATGATCACATATATGTGGATGCCTCTCAAATTGTAGGCTTCTGTACAGAAATATCTGCTAGGGCCATGTCCATGGGGTTGCTGCACAGACGCCCTCAACTCGGCATGTCCCACACCAAGCTGCATACATCTTTTCCCTCTCATACCTTCCATTTCTCCCCTATTTACCAGATCGTGAGATTCACTAGAAATGCCCATTCTGGGTATTCCTCTGGCCACCCCTCCAGCTTCACTTACATGGCCCTAGCTCAGGAGATTGCAGTAGCTTCCTAAAAAGAATCCTCTTCTTCTTCCCTCAGATCCATCCTCCCCACTGCAGCCATGCGTCTCTGCCTGCACAGCTGCACTTGTATTTGGATTTTTTTTTCCCCTTCGTTCACATTATTTCCTTAGGATAAATGTCTACGAGTAAAATTCCCAATCCGAAGGTATAACAGTTTTATGCCTCTTATTATAGATTACCATCTTATTTCCCAAAAAAGGTTTTGCCAATTTATGCCACATCCCCACAATTGTATCAGTATTAAGTATTAGCTTTTTAACATTGCTTTTCTAATTTAGTAGGTATAAAGCGTGCTTTGCAATTTGGGGGCTTAGTTGAACATTTCCCTCATGTTTTTTGCTAAATATGCTTTGTCCATTATCTAGAGAGATTTCGAAGTTGCTCTTTTATTTGAATGAGCTCTTTACATGGTGGTACGTATTGAACCTTTTCAGTCACATAAGTGTGATCAGCTCTTCTCATTCTAATGAAATGTTTATTTTTTATTCAATAGAAATTTTATAGTTTTATTTGGTTGAATCTGTCAACATTTTCCTTTGTCATTTCTTTTTAAAAGAAGCCTTTAAAACATTAAAATCACCGATACCAGGAAGGCAGTGTGAATGTGACTGCATACTTGGTCTTGACCTTATGAGAGCGAGCTGAAAAGACCAAGTTTGAAAGTGCTCAGGAACGGCATGCGAAGCAGAAATGTCAACACCAGCGCCTATGTGTGCAGTCACACACTGTGTGGCTTTAGTAACAATTGTCTGGCTTCCCTTTCGTCCTGTCACGTGACTCTCCATAGTTTCTTTTGTGCTTCATAGGTAGCTCTTTTCAACGAACCAATACAATATGCAAGAAGTTGACGCAAAGTAATGGAATTTTCATTAAGACACAACTGCATTCTTGTTATTCTGAGGACTGATTAACTTAGTAGGAATCACCATGAGAACATCATCTTTTTGCATAATTTCGCATTAGGTTTTGAATTAACAACACAAAAGTGAAATATTTTAATACATTTGCTGAATTTTGTCATGGAGCCAGCGAGCCCACAGGAAGCGTTTTCTTCTCTGCCCATAAGTCTCATACACGTGGCCATGGAGCAAGTAGAAAAGGCACTTTTCATAAAAACTACTAAATATTTATGGCTGGCTTCATTTTGAAGTCAGTACATTTTATGTAGCCCTGCCAAGCTCCACCTTCACCAAAGGAATGTAATATGGATATTAAAGCTATCTACTGCAGAACTGATGTCTTTTAGCAATATACTTTTTCTTTTCTTCTTGGGATATACTGCTCTTTCAGATCTGCCTATTTTATTTATTAAAGCATTTAACAATATTTCACATTTTCTTTCAGTCTTCACAGAAAAGTACTGTACCGCTAATCATGTGGATAAACTTCCTGGCCCAAGAGACTGGGTACAGATTCTACAGGATCAAATTAAACTGGCCAGAAGAAGGTTAAAAAGAGGCTCAGGTATGAATAAACTGCAAGGAAATAATTGCGGAAGCCCTTTATTGAATTCTCAGACATTGCAAACTACAGTGCTTTGCTCTAGGGTGTCCCATTGTCTCTTGTCTTTTGAAGGAGACATACTATGTAGTGAGCTATGGTTTTGTATTTTAAAGTCTCATTCAAATGAATTTTGAAATTCACCTGATAATTAGAAAGTAAAAATTATGTCAGGCCATTTACTTTTAACAGTACAAAGGAAAAAGATTGCTAATCTCATCTGGGGCTTATGTGTCTTGGGTATGAAACTGGGTCTCCAGTTTGTGATTTGCATCTATTGCCTATTGGTTTTTGTTTGTTTGGATCTGCATGACTTTATAAAAAGTACTAGTTGCCTAAGGTACTAAATAACAATAATCATCCTACCAGAAACACCACATGAAATAGAAAGAGATTTTAAGTCAAATATTTATTTATCTTAAATATATATATATATATATGTTATATATGAATTTTAACTTTTTATTTTTTATTTTTTTTAAGATTTTATTGGGGAATTGGGGGAGGAAACAGCATTGGGGAATCGGGGAAGGGGAACAGACAAGTTGCTGTCCTTTTGTTCTTCAGTCTAGTTGTGGAGAATGTCGCTTCACTGGCCCATGTTGGTATTATCATTGCGCTCTTCCCAGGTGAGGCAGGCCACTGGTCGCCGGCCACTGGACGGCCGTTCACGGCGGCTCACGGCAGCTCTCGGGACTGCCAGCTGCTCACACCGGCTGCCAGCCACTCACAGTAGCACGGCAGCCCACTGCAGCTTCACTGCAGCCTTGCCGGTGACTCACGGCAGCCCAGCTCCAGGTCGAGCTGTTGTTCACCATCTTAGCTGTAGAGGGCGCAGCATCACTGGCCCTCATGTGGGATCCGAACCGGGGCCCTGCTGCTCAGAGTTGGAGTCCCAAGCCAACTCTTAACCAACACGACACTTAGCCAGCCGTACTTTAACTTTTTATATCTGGGCTTAGTGATTCTGGGATTATCGTCCAGGAAAAAAATGAATGCTAATTGAATTATGACTATTCAGTCATTTCAAGTTTCAATTTCCCCAAAACGACAGTGGGCCAGTTTACCAGTAAAGAATCTTTTTGAGGTCAGCTTTCTGCCGTCACGTAAGAATAATTGTCTCTAGGAGGCCACAAACCTCTAGCTATTATTTAAAAAAAAGAAAAATCCTGATCAAACCTCAGGATGCCGGGCCTGCTGAGAGCCTCCTGTGGTTCTGTGGCTGGCATGTGAGAGTTTGGGAGACAGACCTCAGATGCTGAAATGTTACAGGCTTGAATGTCATGAGGTCTATGAGAACAGTGCTACAAATGCGTGAGACTGTGTCACTAACAGATCCCTTTCTGTGAACTCACAGGGAATAGTGGTCACCAAGTCTGGGGAGAAGTATAGCTGATGGCCTCAGGAAGAGCTCCTGGCACAGGCTAGGATGCCCTTGATGTGATGACAAGACACACGGGCAGGGAGGGACCAAGTGGTTTTTCAGTGTGAAAAACCTTACAGCTCTTTTCGCAAAGAGTAGCTATTGGGACTCTAAAATATTCAGCTATCAGGTCATCAATGGAGGCTTAAACTCCACCTGAGCGTCCTCTGACCGACCTTTCATGGAGTTATAGAAGTAATTTACAAAGCTCCAAGTCCCAAGGTCATGTCCAAAAGATAAAATATTCAGCTGTAGATGATTTTTTTATTAAAAATCTTCCCTTCATCTCTTTTAATCTTTTGCTTTCTTTTATACTTAATTAATGCTTTTTTTATAAAGAGCAACAGATTACTAATATTTTTAATTGGTAAAAAATGTATTATCGCCTTAGGTAATAAGTCATAATGGAGTCAGAAGACCTGGTTTTTCAAGTCTCATGTCTGCTCTTTACCAGCTCTGGGCCTTGGGCACATCACTCCATCTTTCTAATCCTCAGTGTCCCGCTCATGAAACAGACATAAAAATAAAGCCTGCCTCAGAGTTATTGTGAGGCTCCAGGCATATACTGTACACAAATGTCTTTATAAATGAGACCAGCTTTTCCTCTCTGAAAATGTCTGTATCATTTGCAGCAGTGATTGGCAGGTGGAGATGGCTGAGGAGTCATAACTCTGTGGGACCCTCGTATCCTAGGTCAGGGGACCAAGCAGCCTGCTTTCCCACTCTTGTCCCTATAAGGCCGGACAATTAAGTTTGCGAACTAATCCTAGAAAAAGTGCTACATGCCCTATTGCTGAATATCACTACAATCACCTTCGAAGTACTCCACTTGGGAAGCTATGCAACGACACCAGCACCTAGTCCACCCTTTAAAGCACTTTTGGAACTCGTTTTCTGGAATTGGCCATCAGAGCTGTTGTTGTATTACCCTTGACGTCCTGAATGTCATCTAAATGTCTTCCTTTCAATATTTCCTTTATCTTCAGGTAAAGAAAGAAGTCATTGGGGGGCCAGATCAGGTGAATAGGGAGGGTGTTCCAATACAGTTATTTGTTTACTGACTAAAAACTCCCTCACAGACAGTGCCGTGTGAGCTGGTGCATTGTTGTGATGCAAAAGCCATGAAATTTTGGCGAAAAGTTCAGGTCGTCTAACTTCTTCACGCAGCCTTTTCAGCACTTCCAAATAGTAAACTTAGTTAAGTGTTTGTCCAGTTGGTACAAATTCATAATGAATAATCCCTCTGATATCAAAGAAGGTTAGTGACATCATTGCAACAAGTTCACGAACTTAATTGTCACCTCACAATTATTAATAATGCCCCATTCACTCTCAAAGGTTTTCAAGCTTGGGTAATAAGTGATCTGGCCATCCTCCTCCTAGGTCTCTCAGCTTTTACCACCTTCTTCTCCTTTATCTACAAATCATGGCAAATAAACACAGCATTCTATAGTGGAAAGAACAGGTCTGAATTCCTAGCTCTGATATGCCATTTACAAATCTCTGGGACCTTGGACAAATTACTCAACCTCTCTGAGCCTCAAATTCTCCATTTATATAAACAGGCTAACAGCTTCCTCGGGGGTGTTTTCAGAGTTAGAGTTAGACAATGTAAGTATTGCGCTAATGCAGAGCTGACACACCTAATGATGTTCATAAAATATTGTTGACCTTATCCTCCTTTACCAACCAAAAGCAAAGCAACCCCCTTATCCCTGCTGTTTCTTAAAACCACGACCATCTTTCTCGTAACGCTGTTGGTCCAATTCCTTCAACAAGGGTTGCACCACTGTGAAGGCTCCCCCATCCCAGTTCACTAGAATCTAGTGTACTTTGCCCTCTGACCTCACTTCTCGGCATGAGCTCTTGCTGGTCCCAATGACCAGATTCCGCTTTTTGTTTAAGTTAATGCTCCAACTTGACCTCCACATGGATTTCTACTGTCGAATCTCATCCTTCTTGAATCTCTCTTCCCTTGGGTTCTGTGACTTCATTCCCTTTGTTCCTCCTCCAGAAAATCTGACGATGCCTTCGCTCTCCACTGCCTCTCTCTTCCACCTGTCTCTTAAGCCCAGCATTCCTAAGTTCCCACCCTTGGTACTGTTCTTCTTAGATCCTTACTCCTGACTAGAATTGTCCCATCGTCAATGGCTCCATGGTGTGCAGCCCGACATAGTCATAGCCTGAGACCTTAGACTTCATTTTCTGTGCCTCAGCTAATGAAATCCAGTCATGCCTTCCACTACTAAACACTTCTGCTAGCTTCCTGTCACCCCAAAGTAAAGTCCCTTCTACACTCCCACCCCCAGCGTAGAAGGCAAGGTCCTTCACTATGAGCCCCATCCTCCTTGCCAGCCTCATCTCCGGCCACAGGCCATGTGCCTCCCCAGGCCACACCACTCTCCCCATTCTGCAATATGCTAGATTCTTGCACTCATGCTTTTTCTCTCTGCCCGGAAAACAATGCCTCCTCCTATCATAGCATCATCTCCAAGGTTCCTTTCTCCTGGAGGCCTCATAGGTGACCCCAGCACCTTAGTCTTCTGCCACTGGAATAGTCACTCACCAGTTTGCTCCACTGACCATGGAGATCCCCAGGAGCAAGAGACTGCATCTGAGTCGTGTTTCTGGCCTAAGTGTCTAGAACAGTGTGTGGCCCAGCATGGAACCAACAAATTAATCAATGGAAAAGCAGGGACAATAGTCCACAATTAAGAGGTCTTATTGTTTAGCTCATCTACGTCAGGTGATATCCTGGAGAATATTCCATCAGTTTCTTCCTTGAGGTTCAAATACTTATCCCGGGACCATGGGGCAGCAGTGTCCCTGAGCTCTGTCCTCGAGGAACAAGGTCCTTAGGACTCCTGGCTGCTCACATGGCTTCCCACAGAGCCCTTCCTTTCTCCTCCGCAAGCCCTTTTTCTTACTTCCTCCTCTGCCCCAGGCCCATCTCCTTGGTCCCCTTCCCAATTTCCTCTCTTCTCCCTTCCCCCGCAAAGGTTCAGAGTCCAGTATCATGACACCTGACCTCATACAGGGTAGGTTAACCTAGGAAGACTCACTGCTGCCAGTGGGGTCTCTTAGCCCCTTCTTATGCTAAAGGTCTTCTGCCTCAGCCTGAGTCACCTCACAAAGGCCCTTTTTATTACTTTAGCCCCTTTAGATTTCAGGCTCCAGGAAAGGGTTGGGGTGAAAAAAATGTGTTGTGTTTTTTTTTTTACAGTTGAATGGCAGGCTTTATCAAACACAACTGCCCACTTGGTTTACACAGCAGGTAACCCCTTACTGAGCATGGATGTCATGTTAGGAGCTGTGTCTCCACAATTTTATATCCCAAATCCAATTTCAAGTAGGAAATCTGAGGGGTCTCCTTGTTAGTATTAAGTTGGCCTCATGTTACCTAAATCCTACCTTGGCAATCTGCCTGTTTGGGTGTGCAAGAACTTCCATTTGCCTATTGATTTGCAGGGGGAAATTGTTGACACCCTCCCTTTTCCCCTCCCCCCCAGAAAAAATGATAAATATTCAGGTTTGAGAGAGATCCAGAATTTGTCAGAGTGAAGAAACCTAAATTTAATACTTAGCCCAAAGGAAAGGCAAAGGGCCAGAGTAGCCCAAGAACTAGCCAACCAGCCAGCCAGCCACCCTTTGGTTCTCCACACACTGGTCCTGACTGCGCCACCAGCTTCGAGCCTGAGATAGGCGGGCAAATTCCTCCACTCAGAATTCATAGAAGCATGCCAGGTCCCTTCCTGCTTCCCAGGGTGGGGTGCACGTAATTGGAAAATGTGAGAAATACCAGAGCTCCTTGCAGCTTGAGGGGAAAGAACTATGAAGCCAGAATGCTGATATTGCTAACTTAGGTGCTGCAGACACAACCCAGAGAAAAGAAGGAAAGGGCTTTGTGTTACAGAACATGAGGAGATGATTACAACTCCCTAAAGGACCTGAAAAGTTGACGTTTGAAGAGTCGCCTTTAAAGGTACAAGGCCAAAAGTGTGGAGAAGACTGTTGCGTACCTACCGAGTGTACTGCAGAGGAGACCTCTTCTCAGAGACATGGAAAGAGCTTTCCTGGCCATGGGCCACATGACTGAAATAGGAAGTTTGGTTTAAATTTTGTTTCCCTATACTGTATATGTTATACATGAACGCACCTTGTTTTTTTTTGTTTTCTATTTCAAAGGCTGAGACCAATTATTATGAGTTCTGGTCTCCATTCCCATCCTCACTTCCCCCCAACAAACACACATGCGCACAGTGGGGACTTTCCTCCACGTTCCTGTCTCTCCCACAAACAGACTGGCCAGTGAACACGTTCCTTAAGCATCTCAGCATTTGTATTAGTGATTCGCATGAAACCTGCTCGTTTCCGCACGCACATGCCTGTTTCTTGTAGAACGGGATCCAAACCACACGGCTCCCTCTCCCTTCCCTTCTGGTGGGAGCCTCGCACGTGCTCAGGACATCGTGTGCCCTGTTCCATAGCTATCACCATACTTGATTTTGGATGTTTTCACTTTGACCACTGGGTTTAGGTTATCCACCTACATTTTTGGGATTGTCACCTTGGCACTTCCCTGCCTCACTGGCAGGTTCTGTTAGCATCTGAGAAAGTGGACGGTGCCTACAGGACAAAACCAACCCTGACACAGATCAAACCAGACCAGAATGACAGCACATCAGCAGTGACTTGCCAAATAGGTTTTGTCTCCCAGTTTTATCCCATCCTGTTACACTTCACTCTCCCTCAAGTGGCACAAAAATGGGACCCCAGCAAATGGAAACTAGAGCTCCTTGCGTTTCCGCTGTTGTGCTGATAGGAACTTAGAGGCCTCTCAATAATGTCGCTTGCTAGCCTGCTTTTTGTCTTGATTATTTTCAGCCTAAATGATAGTACAGTGTCTCATAGATATTCTACAACTTCAACCTTATTTATCATATTTGGCTCAATTCCTGGAATTAGGCACAGACGCCACCTGGGCAAGCTAATCACCTCACCGGTTAGGAAAGCCCATGCTGCCTCTAGAACAAGAGAGAGCCCCACACAGCTCTAAAAGGTTGTTATACGAATCCAAATAGCAATTCATCTGAGGCTCTCATCACATGTAATAATTTTTTTCCTATAACTGGAATGAGTCCTTTTCTGGCCTGGATTTTTATCATTTTCATTAGATTATTTCCTCAGAGTTGAAATTGCAATTTTGTGTGTGCGTTAGCTCTAAGAGTAAAGCTGTCATTGCTATTAAATTTTTATTGGACTTGCTCAATCTCTTCCAAATTCCACAACATGACTGTCACCAAGGAAGAAAGATTGTGAGCTTATTGTTACAGGCAGATGTTATAGTTAAATTTAAGTAGCACCGTCATGTTCTTCATCCATGACACTGGGCCCTGTTCATAGAGCTAGCATACACTAATATATATATGCTAATATATGCAATATATGCTAATATATTAGTATATGCTAATATATATTAGTATATGCATATATATATATATATATATATATATATATATATATGTTGTATATGTTCTGTTCTTACTAAAGCACATAATTGCATAGCCTGTTTTTTAAGCGAGGATAACTGAATTACAAAGGGAAGATCAACTTAGGCCCGGAATAAATTTTTGTTATAACTAAATGAAAAGCAATTATACATGTAAAGTGGAGAAAGTTACTGAAGTATAAAATGAACTAGAACTTGAAGGTTTAAAAATTAGCTCATAATGATACATGGGATATATGTTTGGACTATTAATCGCAAAGAGATTAAGAGCCCAGACGCTAACCTGATTCAAATTCCTGGCAGTGTCACTTACTAGGGATATCACCTTAGGTAAATTTCTTAACCTCTCTATTTCTCAGTTTCTCATTTGTTAAAATGGGCATAACAACAGACAGACCTACCTTGTGGGGTTTTCTAAGGGTTAGATGATGCAATGCATGTAAAATGCTCAGTAAGTGGTAAGCATTTAGTAAATGGTGGTGGCCAGCATTGCTATTATTATTATTACTAAAGAACTTTTTAAATCCTACACAATGAAAGAACTACCATGTAGTTCATCTACCTGTTCAAATTCACTCAAATCAATTGAAAGAAAATAATGCCTTCTTAAATATATAGAGCAATTTAAAAAACCCAAAGAACAGAATTTTAAATGCCTATAAACCTTTCATGCAGAGAGAAACACTGTTAACATTTTAATATGTCCTGTATTCCATCTATAAACCTATTTACAAAATTTTATTCTTACTATTTATCTTATTGCTGGTCTTGAATGTTTTTGTTATTAAATATTCATCTACAATATCATTTTTAGTGGCTTCTACGCTTCTCCAACCCAAATTGGTCATGACTATTCTGTCTTTTCTCAGCGTTTTCTCTTTGTGGTGGATTGAGCAGCTCAGCAGACAGTGGGCCTTTCACTGATGTCAATGTGTAGCAATCGGAGGACACGATGTAAGAGGGTGGGCCTGAGTAGAAATCTTTAAACCCTGATTGTGTTTAAAGCAATAGCAATAAAAACAAGAACACAGTATTAGTTGCTTCCCACACACTTAGCATTCCATCGTGATGCAAATGAGAGCCCTCATTTGACTGGCCTTTCCCAGCACATATGCAGGGACTGGAAAGTGGCTACAGGCAGGAAACTTCCCGGGGGCCACCAGCCCTAGGATATAGGAGCACCGCCAAAATTATCCAAATTGCCCTAATGAAATGTTTGACCCATCCACAGCGTGGTGGGGAGACTGAGACATATGGGCACCTTCTTTTATGTATTTAGTGGAAGGTTTTCTGTGACTAAAGGATCTACCTTTGGGAAGCTTTTAAGGAGATGGAAACATATCAGAGATGAGCAAAGGTTTGCTTGCATTTTAAACAGAGACATGATGAATCCTTTGAAAGCACGCTTATTTTTATTTTTATTTTCTTTATGACTGAATTGAAGACAACTTAGATTGGCAGCTCTAGGATCAGAATTTTCAGTCATCGCCAAAGAAAGATTCATTCTCAAGATTTCCTAAGCCTGCCCCACAGGAATGGTTCTGGGCTGAAAGGCGAAAACTATTATATGTGCTGGAGTTTTTAAATTGTATGACTGTATTCGGTAAAATGAATGTGCTCCCTGAAATTAATGAGATTTGTGTTTTATGTTTGTAACCAGCAGAGGTGGCTGACGGTGATGAAAGACTGGACGGCATTTCTCTACCACCAACAGGTAAAAACACATTTATATTTTCATCACCCGCTGGAAAATACAGCACATGAAAATATTTGCACTGAAAATGTTTTTAAAATAATAGATGCAGATGCTTGAGCAAAAAGGCTCCTGTGACAGACACAAACCCTAGTAATCAAAGGACCTCCATGCCCTGTGTTCAGAGTTATTTTTGACATTGAATGTGAAAAGCTACATTTTTCTCACACTCTTGTTTCATATGCTTCAAAACCTCAGAACAGCAAGTCCTAAGAACTTAGTATCACAACATTGTGCCTCCGAAAACCTTTGGACATTTAAAAATATTTTAACAGGAAATGACATTTCTTTTTAGAATAGGGATCACCAATTTTATGATGAAATTTACATTCATGCTGTCCTCTCCCACCTCCCCCAAAGGGCCTTGAGAGGCAGCCATTGCTTTCCACAGAATGGGCACCCAGAGAACACCATGTTACAATTGAGTGACTCAAGAAGCCAATCTATCTATCTATCTAACATGGGGGGCACACTGCTAATGTTATAACCAGATTGGGCGAATGCAGCATTTCATTGAAGCGTCTGCTACAATGTTAAGCCAGAGACACAATTCTGAATTTACATTATTTGACTCTCAAGTGACACTTCTGACCCTGGTCTCCTGCCTCTGCATGGGTTCATACCTGAGAGCCCGAGGGACAGGTGTCTGATCCGAATGCCATGTGGCAAACAATTTATTCTCTCCATTGGCCTCAGGACTCTTTATTGACTGCCCCCAAGAGAATATCTGAAGATTCCCTGCCCACAAAACCCAGATGCCCCCCAAAACCCTCAAGTAAAAAAGCTCAACTCAATGTTGTCTCTAGCTTTGGGCTGGTAAATTTTAAATGCAATATAAATATTCAGCAAATATGAATGGAGTAGCTAGTCTGTGTAGGCACTCTACTGGGTCACGTGTTCATTGATGGCATGTACTCTGTGACAGCAACCCAAGCAGAGTTCACAGGTGTAGGACAGACGTATGTTACTGAACCCCAGAGCAACAAGAAAGCTCAGCCGTGTAAAGGATAAAGTGCTTTCTGTCACTGAGTAACTAAGCAACAGATCAAAGGATAAATAAATGAAATGAGCTGCACAGTGCAAAAAGGGCCTGCTTATATCAAGTTCTTACTGTATATAGTCATTATGTAAAAGAGATTTCTTGTTTGGCTGTGTTTCCACACTTATGAATCAAGAGAATTGAAATGCATGATCTCTATTGCTCCTTCCCATTCTGTCCTTGGAATATCAGGACAGCTCATATTAACCGTGTTCTCATCACCTCTGGCCCACTCCCAGTAGAAGTGTGAGATACAAGTAACAATGAACTTGTGCACTCCGGGAGGCCCTTTGGAGAAATACCGTGCTTTCTAGGGTTCCTCCCCTCTAGCCCTTTGCCGCAGAGCAATTGCAGTACCGGTCCTCACTGTCATCTGACACAGTGGGCTTTTTAAAATTACTTGAGAACCATTGCCTTTTGCATTTTCCTATCTGAAGATGGAGGCAAAGAGATGTTTCAGATGAGAAAATTGAACACGGGGTAGTAGAACAACCTCATGGAACTGAAAAGGATTTCAAGGAACCTGAGAAAGAAGGAACGTTAGAGATCATCTAGTCCCATTCCTTCTTTTTTATCCAGTCCTTTTATTTTACAGGTAAAAAAGCCTGAGGCCCAGAAACACTAAATGACTTTCTCAAGGTCTCACAGCTGGTTGGTGGCCTGGCCAGAGCACAGGCCTCTCGACTTCCAGCCAGTGTGCCGCGTAGCTTTCTTATACCAAAGCCAAAGCCAGCTTTTCTCTGCATGTTTCTTAAAGATCCTAAGAGTTGATGGATGCACTGATCCCTATAGGATTCCGTTTCAATGTCTCTGTCTCCACAATTAGAATGTCCGTCGTCAGTCCCGCTGAAGTCCACTGAGGCTTAAAACTCCTGTAATTCTTTCTCAAGTCTTGCCCAAGGCTGTGAGGTCATGGTGAAGACAGGAGTAAGAACACCCCTGCAGGTCTTTTTACTAGACTATTGATAGATATTTGATCACATTACTAAACATGAAAAATAATACAGTTTATCATTTAGAAAAGGGGAAAAGAAGTAAAAAATCAGTGGCCAAATTTTGCACTAATGAAATTCAATAACCCGAATTTGACAATCCGGTCCCTTGATTGCCGCTGAAGTAAAACTCAGTCTGGTGGCGTCTCTGAACACAAGGCTACTACTAATCCCTCCTTCCTCGTGTGCACCCCAAGGAAACCGTCCGAGAGGTGAAACCCACCCTTCTTGCACAAGGAACTTCATCCTGGGATTTGAGACTCACTTATCGTGTTTATCTGACCTGGCAACAGTTGATCCTTTTAAAAGATTTTACAATGCCTTTATTAGCTTTTCAAGGTCTTTTTTTCCCTTCCAAAGTCACGTGTTTTGAGGAGAGTGGGGAAAAGTGTAAGTCCTGAGTGTTTCTATGAACCAGAATTGAGCAGGTCAGGGCAGTCAAACGACATCTGTTTCAATCCATCACTTTTAAGCAAACTGCTATGAGGTGTGATCAACCAAAATGGTGAATGTTTAAATTTAAAAAAAAAAAATTATGGGCCAGCCGAGTGGCTTGGTTGGTTAAGAGCTCGCTCAAGAATGCGAGCTCTGAGCAACAGGGTTGCTGGTTTGATTCCCACATGGACCCTAGCTGAGCTGCCACTGAGCTGCCAATAGGTGGCAGGATGGCTCAGCTAAAAAAAAAAATGATTACAGTAAAAGACACATTGCCATTCATCCTCCTCAAAGTACTCCTGCTTGATGGGGTGAGCAGTTCGCTCAGTTGGTTAGAGTGTGGTGCTGATAACTCCAAGGTTGCTGGCTCGATCCTCTCATGAGCCACTGTGAACTGCACCCTCCTTAAAAGAGTCAGTTATGCCACTGTAGCATGAAAGCAATGTGTAACCAATAACCATGGCTGTTCCCCAATAAAAAAAAATAAGTGCTCCTGCTTGCTTCAAACACATCGTTCTTGCCACTTTCTGAAGCAGTCCTGGAAGTCTTCTTTCGTGAGTGTCTTTAGTTGCACTGTCATGGCTGCCTCAATGTCCTGAATCATTTTGACTTTGGGGAAGAGCCAGAAGTCACATGGTGCCAGATCTGGGGAATAAGGTGGATGAGGACACACCGTAATGTTTTTATTTGACAGAAATTGCTGTATACAAGAAGCCATGTGTGACACAGAGTGTTGTCATGATGGAGGATGATTTATAGCACACTTTAAAACACACCTTCTTGCAACCGTAGCTCACCCGACTGACTGCACTGAACAAGTGGAAACTTGTCACACACTGTTACTAAGGTTTGACATGCCGCTTCCCGTATTGAAGATCCCTGCCTTTCCATTGGATGGCACTCGGCGGCAGCATTCACCATATGTTTTGATCACTACAGAAAGGCTCCGTGTCACACATCGCTTCTGGTATGGCAGTTTTTGTCAAAAATATTAGGGGGCGGCTGGTTAGTTCAGGTGGTGAGAGCACAGTGCTCATAACACCAAGGTTGCCAGTTCAATCCCCGCATGGGCCACGGAGCTGCACCCTCCACAGCTAGACTAAAGACAACTACTTGGCTTGGAACTTTTGGGTCCTGGAAAAACACACCGTTCTCCAATAAAATCCTTTTAAAAAAAATTAGTGTCTCCTCATCCACCTTATTCACCGTATCTGGCACCGCGTGACTTCTGGCTCTTCCCCAAACTCAAAATGACCATGAAAGGTAAACATTTTGAATCGTTTCCAGACATCAAGGCAGCCACAACAGCGCAGCTAAAGACAATCACAAAAGAGGACTTCCAGAACTGCTTCAGAAAGTGGCAAGAACAATGGGATGAGTGTATTCAAAGCGAGAGAAGATTTTGAGGGGGATTAATGGCAATGTGTCTTTTACTGTAATAATTTTTTTTTAATTTCAACATTCACCGTATTTTTTTTATCATATATACCTTGTATGTGTGTAGTTTTAACAAAAATGGATACAGATTTTATAGTGGAAGAACCTATTTTAATTTCTTTTCCCTCAGTCCTGTCAGTGAGCATTTTTGAGCAGCTCCCAGGAATCAGCACTGTGTTAGGTTCTGGTGAACAAATGCCCACCCTCAGAGAGCCAGCCCCCAGACCGGTGTGACAGGCACCGTGACACACTGCAGTGCAGGTGTGGAAAGACACTCTGATAACAACAAAAAACAACCCAGGATTTGGGAACAATTTGTGGTAGGATAAAACAAGAGTATAGAGAAAATAAAATTGTAACGGTGCTTTCTAAAATTTAATAAGGAGGCTTCTGAATTTGAAACAGAGTAGTGCGGAGCTCTTCTGGGCTTAGCAGTTTTTGTCATAAATTGGCATTCTTTTACATACTTTTTAAAAATTAAGAAAGTAAAGTGTAAAAAAGAAAATTTAAATTAATTTTACCACCCAGAGACAACCATTATTGGGTATTTTTTTCCCCCAGACTTTTCTCTATATTTATTTCATTTACACAATGGAGATCAAATACATAAAATTTTGTTTCCTGTGTTTTGTTTTGTTTTTAACCTAACAAGCATTTTCCATTTTATTACAAATTTTCATACACATTATTTTAATAGCTGCATGATATTCTGTTTTACAGGTAAATCATATTTTATTTAGCCATTTTCTATTATTGGATAACATATGGACATACTCTAATAATAGCATACATTCATGGGTTTTCTTGTAAAAATAATCATTACAAATAAATGTCTAATGGCTAAAATTTCTCATTTAGCACAACTAAAGCCTTGGCTAAGCATTAGTGATTTAAGTATGAAACACAGACATCTCACCAACAATGCTCTTCACTTACCCAAATCTACCTCTAGCCATGTCATAGAAAAGTGTGCGACTCTCCTTTAGAGAAGTGGTTCCCCTTCATTTTCTTATCTCTGTTGTAGGTAATATATTTGACACCAGGAGAGAAAATGCGGAAGACAAAGAGCCAGATTTCACTGCCTAGACTTTCATTTAGTGACAATGTTCATTAGCATATGTACCTCTTCCATTTGAAATTTCCTCCAAGATCCGCGTTAGCATTTCAGGTTGCTGCGAAGTGTGGGTGTTCTGTGAAGTTTACCCGTCCTGTTTGAATAGTTTTCATATACTATCTTTGTAATCTGTGATAATCAAGCCTTTAATTTGGTATCAGATTTTTTTAAATCATTTTTACAGTTGATTTATCACCCTTTAAGTCCAACATCTGATCCAATTGGTTCATGTCCATTAAAAAGCAGCAGCTCTCTCTTCCCTGGGTTTTTTTGGTTTTGGTTTTTTGTTTTTTGGTTTTTTTTTAATATAACCTCACTGTGAATATTTGGAGTTTTGAAGCATATTTATTTTAACTTAAATTATTTAGATGCAACATAAAGGAGACTGGCTCTTTCTAATATTGAGGGAGCAGTTGCGAAGGCCAAAGTTAATTGGACCTTCACCAGTTTAAAAGATGTAAGAGATGTTTTGGGAGACAGGATAACTCTGAGTTATTAGATAAAATCATTTGTGACATTAATCCCGCCCCCCCCCCCAAATAACCATTTGTAACTGAATAGGCGCAATAGATATATGAACGCCTAGGAAAGAAGAAACCTTTCACATAGGTTGTGTCAACACAGTGACAAAATAACTCTTTAAAAGGTGAGAAACTCAAAAAAAACAAAAAACAAAAAAAAAACCTAGAAACTCAAAATAACCAGTTATCTACATGATACCTAACAATTATTTTAACAGATGGTTTTAACTGAGTGAGTGGGTCCGTGTTTTGCCATTGTGTGGTAACCAGCCACAGATGTATTTCATATTATGTATTTTATTTGGTTCTTGTACACTCACACTCCACTTTATATAAAACCAATGAATTACAGCATGGATTCATTTTAAAGATATATCATGCCATGTGGGTATCTGTTTTAAGAAACATTTCTCTAATAAGTTGGTAAATTTAAAATACCATTTTATGTAGAAACATTTCATTTATACCTCATTTATTGCATAAAGCAAATTACTTTGAATCTTTGGCACTTGGCCCAAAGGCCAAAATTTGGCTTGGAAGAAATTTGAACTAGAAACAGCAAACCCCAAGGGGGGAAAAAAATGTTGTGCTACTTTAAAAGTTTAACACATTTCCCTAGCACTTACTTTATCAAGTCATAGAGTGTTAGAACTCAGAGTTGTTGTAGATGTCCCTGAGCCCCACCCCCGTGTTTTACAGGTGTGGCCACCGAGGGGTGAGGAGTGAGGTTGTCCAGGGCCAGGTAACCCATCAGGGGCCTGGCCAGGCCTAGCACCTAAATGCCTTTCTCCCCTGTCCAAGGTACTTGTGCCATCTCACACTGAACAGCTAAGCCTGAGCTAGGAGAGGAGCTCTGCGATTAATCAGTTTTCCACTGGAGACCAGCTCATCAACCGAAGATTACAAGAGGCATCCCTGTTAGGTGACAAAGCTGGTTCTAGGTGTGACAAAGCTGGTTCCATCCAACTGCTAGACAGCGACGTCTCATATACTCGTATGTGAGTGTCTTTTATCTCCTTTTTGAAGCTAGCAGGAAGGTTCAGAGCAACTGTTTCCATCACGCCCTTTGTTAGCCTTTTACATTTGAGGCCGGCTAGTAACCCCTTCTCTGAAACCAGTCCCTCTGCTCATCAAATGTTTGATGAAGAACTGTGAACCAGGGCTTTTGTTTTTCTGCAACATGTGTTTTAAAACTTGTCTGCTGCCTCTCGGCAGGAAATATTCCTCAAGGGAATTGAAAAGATTAATTAGTGACCGTTCAACTCTATTAAAATAAAATGACTATGTCACTAATAAAGGTAGAAACATTCACTTTACAACTGTGGCCTGTTAAATATAGACCACGAATCTCCAAAGCACTTCCTTCTAAGACTGGGCCACAGCTTGGAGTTTTCACCACTTTAGGCGGGGTGGGGGTTGTTCAACTCACAAGTATGTGCAATGGATCTCCCAGTTGGAATACATATCATAAAAGTGCAAGAGTGAAGTCATATTTTGTAAATTAAAATTGTATTTGTGTTTACTTACTGTGACTACTGTTCAGACTTTATTCAGAAATCCTTTTTATAGGCTTTCTTAGCAAAAAAAAAAATTCCATATCTATGAATAATGTCTCAATCTTCTGTATATATGTTTTATTAATATGTAAATATTTAGATTTTTAAAAAATTACTATGTTCTTTAAAAAAATTCAACGCAAGGCTAGTTGTGAAAATGGTGTATAACATTGTGTTGTGATATCAACCCCCAAGATGCTCTTTATGTCCATTCTGGAAGAATACAATAAATTACTTTAATTGACTGCGTCTGTTTCATGCCTGCGTTCGTCCTCCTGTGTTTATGAAGAGGAGTGAATGCTGGACATTAATTAAAAGGTATTTATTAACACTCTGGTGATCTTACACAGGAATTTCTATCTCCTCAGGAAGTAAATTTAAAAATAAATAAATAAACTAGATTGCTACCAGAAAGAGCGTCTTCCAAAGTAGGAAGTCACAGGCTCTGCCTGGCAGTCAGATCAATGGCTGTAGCAAGTCCCACAGTAACACTTAAGCATTAAGCACTGATATGCTTGAAGCCTAATTTTAAATGAATTCGGTAGCTTTATAATCTTCACTTAAAGATTAAGCCCTGCTTCTATGGAAACAACACATCAGAAGGACAAATCAATCTTCTTGAATGCAAAGTGCCTGTGAAATCATAATCGCTTTCCTTTCCCCTCTGACCACAGGAGGGCGCTACTCCTCACTGGGTATCTGCCCCCATCCAGTAGGCCTTCCCAGCCCGCCCCTAGCCGAGAGCGCCCCCAGGCTGTCCGCTCTGTCAGGGCTTCTGTTCAGGATCTGGTTCCCGGGCTGTCATTTTAGAGGGCCCTGAGCTACTCCACTGCTGGGAGGAGAGGTGGCTGGGGTGGTGGGGAGTAGCAGCTACATAAGCAAGCAGCTGGGTTGCAGGAGAGGTGACAGGGTGACTGGCTTGCAGAAACAGAAAATCTAAACTATAGCCAGTCTTTCCCGTACCTACACCTCTTGGAAGCTGGGAGCCAGGCACCAGCCTGCCTCTCCTGCCACAAATGCTCCCCTTTGTGTGGCCCCTTGTGCCATGATATTATTTGTAAGGGGGCCTGTGTCACGTTAGTTGGCCGAGGCCCTTGGGATGCCTTTGCTCCCACACTCTGGCTAAGATCTGTGCTTTATGTCACCTGGCTGACAGCCCTAAAGGGCTTTCCAGTCCAGCGTGAGGGGACCCAGTTCCATCACAGGGGGCTCCACCGGAAGAGGGACTGTTTGTGATGTCATAGAGGAAAAGCTCACACACCTGCCTCTGGTGTCTCCCCTCCTACAGGCCCAGTCATACCGAGGAAGGTTGCAACCCTTACCAGGTTTGGGAGGCAAAAGAAAAGAGCTGTCAGCGCCACAGTCAGGGCGGTTGGCTGGGTGCCAACCATACCAGCCTTGTGGGGTGGGAGGGAGCTGGAAGGCATGGGGGACCACGGAAGCATTCTAAGTGAGGTTTGATCGGACTCGTATGCTATATTGCTCCATCTGGGTGAAGTGTGTGGAACATTCGCTGGAGAAGGATAAGCCTAAAGCAAGGAGTCCTTTAAGAAGCAGTTGAATTAGTTAGGGATAGATCAAGAGGACAAAACTCCAAATGCCCCGGGCCGGCCGGTTAGCTCAGTTGGTTAGAGCGCAGTGCTCATGACACCAAGGTTGCCGGTTCGATCCCAGCATGGGCCACTGAGATGCACCTTCCACAACTAGATTGAAACAACTACTTGACTTGGTGCTGATGCGCCCTGGAAAAACATACTGTTCCCCAATTAAAAAAAAAAAAAACGAAACAACTCCAAATGCCCAAGAAGCATGAGAGGAGAACCAACAGGACCTGGTGACCAACCAGCCTGGGCTGGAGGAGGGGAGTGCAGCTTTAGGGAAGAAGGAGGAAGTGTAAACCTGACACACAGGTCTCTGGCTGGGGAACCATGTGGGTGTTATTTGCACGCTTGCAAAGACTGGGAACACAGGGAGGAGCAATTTGGAGAAGGATGGCGCATGATTTCAGTTTCAGATGTTACTCCATTCATTCACAAGCGTTTGCTGAACACTTAGGGTGTGCCTGGCACTGTGCGGGGGTCCTGGTACAGCAGTCATGGCACTCGCTCCCACAATCACACATAGCATGGAACCCTCGGGAGGGAACACTGGCATATAAGGCACACTGTGTTCCTGAACTTGGGTTGTCAGAAAAGTCATGATGCATTTTTTCTGTTTTTCATCACAAAAATGCATCATGACTTTTCCAACAACCCAGTAGATAATGGAACTTCATCTTGGTAGCTCTGCCCCAAATGAGAGGCAGTCAAGATTTGATGCACCATTCATTCCACATAATTCAAGTCTCAACTAAGTTTCATTATCACAGACAGGTCTGTAGCTATCAGCTCCCAAGTTGCCACCAGTCTCCATCAAGTCATAGTCGTTTAGGTCCTTCATATCACTTAACACTCTCTGAAATTGTCTTGCTTATTTATGTGTTTATCATCTTATTTTCCTCTGGAATCTAAGCCTCATGATGTCAGGGATTTTATCTGTAAGGCTATTAAGATTTCAGGCCCTGGTGAAGATATATTTTCAGGAACCCCCGTTCCCCCTCTTCCCCAGCAAGAGTGGACTGGGACAGATGAGGAGCATTTACTAGTACACGCTCTCCCTTCTTCCCTGATCCACAGTCTTCGATCACATGCACTTTATTTGTCCCTATATTGCCACTCTTCACAAATGGTGGTGAAATTGTGTCATTGGATCCACCAAAAAAATACTGGCTGTACTCCATGAGGATTTGATAACTAGTGATTCAGAGCAACACTTTGAATTTACACAGGTCAACACCTTCTGTATTTTGTAGCCTCAAAAGCATGAAATTGATCACCCCTAAAATATACATATATAATACACACATACACATGGGTGTGTGTGTGTGTGTGTGTGTGTGTGTGCGTGTGTGTGTGTGTGTGTATTTATTACTATTTTGTTACAGGGAAATTAAAAGAATGTAAGAATCGGGGTGACCAGTTAGCGCAGTTGGTTAAATAAAGCACCGTGCTTATAACACGAGGGCTGCTGGTTTGATCCCCACATGGGCCACTGAGATGCATCCTCCACAACTAGATTAAAACAACTACTTGACTTGGAGTCGGGGCAGCTGGACTTAGAGCTGATGGGTCTTGGAAAAACACACCGTTCCCCAATTAAAAAAAAAATTATGAAAAAGAGAATGTAAGAGTTAATGAAAAAGCAAAAGAATGATCTAGAAATGAAGCCTAGGTGGGACAACCCACAGTACGCTGTGCTTTTACACTTAGTGGTGTTCCAGACAAACTGGGTACTCAAGGGCCTTTTGCCATTTTTATCTGTTAATGCTGAGAAATTGAAGGGATATGTTAAACCTAAACTTTGAAACTAAACGACTTTAGATAATTCCTTTAAAATACTTTCCACAAATGAAGCTGATGCAAGCGTGTTAAATGGAGGAGCTGGTCAGAAACCAGCTCTCTTGACTTCCAGTTGCGCCAACTCTCCACCACGATGCCATAACAGATTCAAAACGTGGAGGGCCCTCGATGTGAATAGGGAGAGAAAAATCAATTTTCCGAAGGAAATTGAGCATCCTAAATTGGTTCAATGAAGTGGTGGACCAATTGCATATTCTGGTAGAAAAACTACTTGCTGCTATACTGTAGCAATGGCAGCAGAAGGAGAACACGTTATAATAAATGGCACTTACTCTATATATTACTGAATTAAGCACCCTCCAAAAGTGATGTATTTCTAAGCACTGGATAGGGAAAACCAGAAGTGACTCAATTAACAACCCCCATGCTATCCCTCCCGCCTCTGGTGATGCACATGGTAACACAGCACTGTCCTTTGGGGGAACGTTTCACTGGTGTGAAGTAAAGCCACCTTCTTCCAGTCTTATCCGTCACCTGTAACACCAACCTGCAGCTATGGGCAGCTTGGATTCTTATTAGGATTGTGTTGGTTTCTATGGTTTGTGTCATGTACTGTTCAAATGTGTTTGCCCTACCTACCTCCATGTTGGTGTTCCCTTACTGTGGCCCCGTGGGGCGGGCTCACCAGTCATGGCACGCTGGGCATATTTTCAATGTCGGACTGACTCCTGGACACTGGCCATATTAAGAGACAGAAGCTGAGATGCACCTTGATCGTGCCTAGGCTAACATTATAATACACAGCTTTAGAAAATGAACAAAACTCCCGAAGACCAAGAAACAACTTTTAATTGGAAAGTAGCCCGTAACTTAGGAGGTGGGGAGGGAAAGGGGGTGGAAGTTGACAAAATTAGCCTGAATTCATTTGAAAGATTGAATACAGGAGAAAAGCCAAGAAATGCTTTAAAAACTGTGCGAGAGACTTACTGCCTTCCCCTTCTTTCCCCCATTTAAACATATTATAAACCTACAAAAATTGAAGCTGTGGTTTTGGTACAAGAATAAACAGGTCAAGAAAACAGAATAGAAATTTAAGGAAAAATGTGTCAATATAAACATACAGCATACACTAGAGGTATTGTAATAACAGACAAAAATAAAGTAGCTCAAATGAAATATAACTTTTTTCTCTAACTCATAATAGCTCAGAAGTGGGTAGGTGGGTCAGGGGTGGTAGGCAGCTCTACTCCATGAGGTCATCTGGAAACCCAGTTGCATTCATTTTATTGTTCTGCCATCCCCTAGGAGACACCCGCGTTCACATGGTCAAAGCTGGCTCACCAGCGTTGAAGGGGGGGAAAGGATAGTGGAGGGGTAACAATTTCCTTATGAAGACATGACCTTGGGGTTACATACATCACTTCTTACATCCCATTGGGCTACACCGTGCACCACAGGAAACTAGGAAATATATGGTCTCTAGCTGGGTGGCTACATGCCTAGTTGGAACTTTTTATTCTGTCACTGTCAGGAGGAGGGGGAGAACAGATAATGGGGATGATTAGCTGTTGGTACCACAGGTGCCATTTTAATTGGTGGGAAGGGATGAATTGTCCAATAAATAGTGTCAAGAAAAACTGGCCAGCCATTTGTAAAAATAAGTTTACATATATACAAAAATTAACTAAAAATGGATTATAGACCTAGATGTAAAAGCGAAAACTATAAAACTCCTAGAAGAAAATAAACAAGTGAATCTTCATTCTCTTGGATTAGGCAATGGTTTCTTAGATATGACACCAAAAGCACATGTGTCAAAAGAAAAATCAATGAACTGGACATCATA